AAAAAAAAAAAAAAAAAAAAAAAAAAAAAAAAAAAAAAAAAAAAAAAAAAAAAAAAAAGGGAAAAGAGAAAAGAAATCAGGAAAAAAAAAAAAGAAGAGACGAACTGAGAGAAAGAAGGAAAGGAAGAAGGAGAGGAAGGTGGAAGGAGAAGCGAAGAGAAGAAAGGGGAAATGAATCGGAAGAGGGAGAGGGGTGTATCTGGGTTTACAACAATCCAAGTATTTCAAGAAAAGAGAGGTCAGCCCCCAGAACCAAAACCCTGGAAAATAGCTCAGGCGAAGTGATGTATAAACTCGGAGAAAACAGCTGATTATACCGCACACCTCAATCCCTTGCTGTCCATCGTCCACGTTGTTCCACATCGGGTGAGAGGGGGATGGGACGGAAGGGGAAATGGGGAAAGGGCATGGGGAAAGGGGAAAGGGGAAAGGGGGAATCTCGCTTCAGTTCTATCCTCCAGGTCTGGCGCGCCCTGTATCCGCGCAGACCATCTCGCCGAATTGCGGGAAGGGCGTGGCAATTCCCTAAAATGCTTTTCTGCCCCATGCCACGTGAGGCGTCGTCAGAGGGAGGGACATCTTCCATGATCTTTGGAAAGCGAGGGGGTTGAGGGGGGCAAGGGGGGGTGTGTCGGAACAGGAATGATGGGTGGTTTTGAGGGCGAGGGGCGAGGTTTGTTGAGGGGGAGAGGGGGTTCATGTGGGAAGGGATGGGGAAGGGAGTGGATTAAGTAGAGAAACGAGAGGAAGGAGAGGAAGGAGAGGAACGCCAAAAAGGCGCATGACGAAGCCTCGGCCGCCGATGTATACTCCATTGCCTTTGCTCCTTGCTATCCTTCCCCAGCTAATCCGCAAACCCCTGCGCGGTGTCGAGCTCAAAGAAAAGGCAGCAGCAACATGCGAGAAAAAAAGATATAAAGCAGATGGTGCTCGCGATCAGCATCGCAAAGCGTTTAGCGAAAACGCGAAGAAACACTTGGTCGGAGAGGCATGCTGCAAAGAGTGCATTAGCTATGGCGAGATTCGGAAGCAGCGCGGGGAGGAGGAGGAGCAAGAAAACACTGTTTCGCGGGAAGGGGGATGGGCGAGGCACAGCAGGTTCGGCAGGGCAAGTGGAGGCGGTCTGTATAACGCTTGGCCGCGGTGTGCCTAGGCGCAGGGGTGCGCAGGCAAAACCGGGAAGGTGCCACTCGTCGGGGACGTTACCACTTCCTCCAACTCCTGTTGTTCCTCCTCCAGGTCCCAGTCGACAAAGAAGTCCATACCGTCCGCCGCTAAGCTCAATCCTGCCGAGCGCAAAACCGGAACGGACCTTGCCCTACTCGTTGTCTGAAAACGATTACCGCACGGTGGTCTCATGAATAGAACCCCCGCGCTCTGTTTTGATATAGCTGCGGTGCCCAGTTAGCAATAGCAAGAGGGGGATTTTATTCGAGATGCATAGCGTACGCCGGAAAGATTGCTCCGAACTGCCTCTTTATTATCACAATCTATACTAAAAACGGAAAGGAAAAAAAAAAAAAAAAAAA